CTTTGCAACCTCATCTCAATTACGTAACGATGCCGGTTTTTGATCGGCCCTTCTCGCCGTCTGCATAAATTATATTGCATACGGAACGACTACTTATGTAGCGTAGTATTAGGCTCCAGTAGGTGTTGGAGATTGGGCTTAGGGAAATGCTACTGAACTCGTGGGAGCGGGTCTATACAGGACGATCCAACTAGGCAAGTGATCTCTGTCCAGTTGGGTACTCCCGAAATAGGCAGTTTATTAATCTGGACATCAATTGCGGTCACGCATTCCAGTAGCAGAAACTTTATAGAATTAAGTCTGAGCAACCAGTGGATGTATACGTGGGATGGGAACGAATGCCTTGCCAACTTTGACACTTGAACTCACTTTCGACTCGTGTCTTGATCGAAATTGTATTAAGCTGTGCGTATAATATGGTGATGGGGATTAGGAGCTAGGGGACGCCGCATGTCATCCGACACATCCGATGAGAAAATGGTAACGCCCACTTTCGAACCCGGCTGCTACCATACCGCTTTCGTACCTCACGCAGCCGGCATCCGTCAAGCCAAGGCTTAGCGGACTTCCTAAACTAACGTTGGGCATAGCCCTCGGGGCCAGCATTCACCTGGACTACTTCACACGAAAATATAGTTTTCTGTTAAACAAATTCAACAGGGGCCAGCAGTGAAATTCACGTTGCCTACTAGCTGCAGGATATTTATCTGACACGGATAACAATTCAAATTAGTTCAGTAAACAGCTTATTTAAATAATCGATTATTTGCGCATGAGGATTAAAATGGACCAATACAGTCCACTTGGACAGCCTCGTCGTCTCCATATATAGATATGATGTGGTTTATGGTGGTGTACAATTGGCCACTATTGGGCCATTTTAATAATCACGCGCAAATATTGGGTTATTTAAATAATTATTCTTTTTTTTCTACTTTTATACGCTCTACTTTTTTTAATTATTTTTCCTTTCTCTTGATATAACTTATTCATTGAACCTTCGTAACTATCAGTCCCGCATTACACAAGGATGGGTCTCGCGTGCTGTTTGGTGACCTAAATTGAACTGTTACCGACACATGGATCCTGCATGTGTGTCTTAGTGTTAGAACACAGGAACCTTGACTAGCCCGTTTCCAGTCCCTTTAAACCCTGAGTTACGCAACGCGTTTCTGGAAAGACAACAAAAGAAGGGATGGTTCTAAATCAGCCAGATTTCGGTGCGATTTGGAGAAAAGAATGTAATGCATCACAGAAGATACTAATAACGTGTGGTGGCAGACAACCCGCAACCTACAGAGGAGCTAAAACAGTGGAAAAAACGCACGCCAAACTGCATAAGTTAGGCGAGCGGGACAAAGAACTTGGGAGCATTGGTTTTGAAAGAGAAAACTGTCAGAGTAACGAGAAAACTGCTCCCTGATGCCGGTATTAGCTGCAAAAAAAAACAAAAAGAGCTAAAGTGACAGAAAGAAGAAGGGCGGGGATGAATGGGTGAAAGGTCAGGTCCGGTGTCGCCGCTGTCAGAGAGAAAGAAAAGGAGAGAGAGTGTGTGAAAGACCTAACCGGAGTGAGGGTAAGGGGGATCACAGGAAACGATCTTCCGGTGGGAGTCGTGTATCACAAGGCGTTTGTGCGTATCACTTTAGGGCGAGATAGTCTGGGCAGATACCTAAGTAATTGGTCAAGAAATTGGCAAGAAAGGACAGTCCGCTTCTGACTAATAATGTCATATCAAATCTAAAAAGTCCATTATGCATTGATGGGAGTGGGAGAGTGGTATTTGTGCGTGACTGTTCAGACCAGATTACTGGGATCGGCGTTTCACAGAAATGACGATAGCAGCTATACAGAACCTACGGATCTGGTGGTCTTCTGGAGGCAGCAGACGTACAGTCACCGTCTGCTTGGCCGGCCCAAGAGCCAGGGGAAAGAGCGTGGTGACAAACTTCTGTCGTCCGAGGGGCTTCTGTGTAAAGGGGCCCACAAATACGTCCTGCACAAAACACGGACCGTCATCCTGCATCCAGACGTGATAGCAGCCTGGCGGTGTTACCATACCATGAATGAGAAGAAGCAAGAGCACACTCTTGTCTGCGACCTCTGTTGCCGGTGTGGAGAAATCGACGGAAAACTCCTTCTGTTGTGCCGTGATCCACTGACAGGGCATAATAACCCGATCTTGAACCAGACCCAAGGAGATGAGCCAACGACGCAAGAGCGTATCCACGGCCTGGGAAAGACGTGCATGGTGGCAGGCAATAACCTCGTAGATGCGGCTCAAGGCGGTTGCTGAAGGCAGGCGATTGGTGGCCGCCGACTGGTGCTTGGCCGTCTCACAAGCGGACTTGGGGGCAGGGGGAGAGAGTTGATGGGCCGGGGTGTTAACGGACAGCACAAGGTGGTCATAGGGCGAGCGAGGCAGAAGGAGGTCCTTGGGTGGTGGTGGTCGTGGCGGGGGGAGGACGAAGCCATTGCTGATGTGCCGCTGAAGACGACTTATGGTGAACCGGTCGACCAAGGAGGAGGCGGAAACTACATTCTCATTGGGTCGAGTGCCACAAACGGTTATAGTTGTGTTGCAACTACTAGTACTGCTGCTGCCGTTGGAAGAAGCTGACTTGGTTGGAGAAGATTCTTCGCCACCAGAAGTAATAGCTCTTAAAACTGTCATTATTAGTTTTATTGCCGTCGTGTTTTCTTCAACCTATTGGACCGAAAGAAACCGCTTACTTATCAAGTGACATCAAGTTTTCAAAGGGGGCATCTTCGCAGGAAAAATCAATTATGAGGCATAATGCTGAGGCATCTGAAATGGTTAACTGTGACGTGCACTCATGAAATTCAAGATTGAAATTTGAGTAAGTGGTTTAACACTCGTTTTTAGAAGCTGTTTCTGCTAATGTCTCTGATGAAGGATCCGCGACGGAGCTCGAAACGTCAGGCGAATGAAAGTTTTGTCCCAGTGATCGCATTTTCTTCTCAGTTGTCATTTTTGTTTACCGAATTAATCTGAGGCGCAAGGAGCTATTTACTAAGATTTCACTCCCCGTCAGTTTATTGAAGAAAAACAGGCCAGCATTAGACCATATCGAACGTTTCTTGATATCCAAGGAGTCTCCAACGCTCCTGAACGTTGTGGAGCAAAACCTCTTGTTTGTGCATGTTGTTCTATAAATGGTACGCTTAATATTACACCTGAAATTTTATTTCAATTAATTAGTTACTGACCGGCATGTCCACGTGTGAGCTTAGGAAATATTTGATTCCCGTGACGTCCTTATTGGAACAATCAAACAAAAATATGTTTGCCTCAATCCAACGCGTCTTAAACAAGGTAGAAACGGAAGAGGAAAAACGGGTATCTCTCGTGAAAACATTCTTGAATATATACTCGGAGTTTTTACTGGCGGACTATTTTCAACGTAATTGTACTTGCGCTGCTTTATTCAGTCTGTATTTTGCAAAAACGGACTTTGTGTACATTTAAAACTTAAGTTTACTCAGTTACACATATTTTCTACGTTTCTGAAATATTCCGTATTTCAAAAAAATGGTACTTCTAAACAAGGTAATAGTAACTTATAAACCAAGCCATGCCTTCTTTTCGAGAACAGTCGTTCTCTTACTGCTGAAAGACTTTGGGGCACGCTGCGTCGGCGGATTTGGCGCAACAGGAATTTTCTTCCATAATTCATGAGATTTCATAAGATAGGCAACTGACTGTATGCGATTACTGGACGGAGTTTGCCGATTCTCTTGACTTAACCCAAACAACTACCGCGATTTAGGAATTATCATGGAGTTGGGACCTGCTTTTCACAAAATTAGACTCAAATTTGCTACTGGTATCGGAACTGAGATGTTATTCTAAATGCAACGGTTCATGAACAAGGATAGCATTAGTAGCTCCATTGAAGATTATTTGAAACGAAATCAAGAGGTTGGTAGTTCGACTCCGTCTGGCGGAAGAAATGCCCCTGACTGCACTTCTAAAATATACTTCGATAACCATATTGGCAACTAAGTTAACCTTCCCAAAAATACAAAAATACCTGCTCCGATCGTACCTCCGGTCTTCTTGACTTTGTTTTAACACCAGGCCCAGGTGGGTGAGGAATGACAGAGTGTGGCAGATGCTGCGTAAGTCTACTATCACTATAAATTAAGTAGATCCTGCTACGCAAGAATTCAAGGTTGAAA